TCCCTGCTTGGTCCTGGGAGTGTGGAGGAGGTGGGAGAAGATGTGCACCTTCCCCTCCACGTATTGGAACTGCCTCTGTGCCTTCTACGGGACCCCAGAGCACCCTGTGCCCTGAGCATCCAGCTGTGAAGTGCCAACAAAAACATTAGGGGCTAAATTCTCAGCTAAGGCAAACTGGTTCAGGGCTTCTAAAGTCAGTGGAGTGGAACCATTTGTCCCAGAGGAGGCTGTGACTCTGCGTATTTATATATATATTTATATATGTGTGTGTATAGATATATTACATAAATATATATGTATGAAATCGTTTCGGACCCATCCGAGCCAGCATGCTGTGCTCTGGCGCAGGGCCGGAGGCGCTGGGAAGGCGGCTGCTCGCCTCCTCCTGCTCCACCAGCTTCGGTTCACAATGGAAACAGAGTCTTGGGTTAAATGAGACCTCACACACACACACACACACACGACACGGTGCAGGGGCTGTCAGACAGCGGCGTGATGCCAGCCCAGGGGTCCCTGAAGAGATCGACTGACTGCAGCCAAAGGAAGGGGAAATAAATAACTGAAGGCGAAGCAGTGGAGGGGTCTCGCTTGCGCCAGAGCCGACCCCAGCATCGGGTCCCCTGTGTCTGCCCAGGCCCCTGTGTGCACACAGGGACAACGTCACAGCCCTGCTCTGTGCTGGCTGGGCTGTGGTGGGGTTGGGAGAGCTGGTGGGATGAGCATGTCCTGCTGCATTCGCCTTGGACCCGCTTTCTCCTTCAGCACATGCTCTGCTTTCGCTCTTGCTCTATCCCAGGACTGAGATTCTGCTGTCTTGGTTGTTAAAGACGAAAGGGAAACTCCAGCCCCAACTAACCCCTCTCTTCTCTTTGCAGAAAGTTTTCATGGAGCTGGGTTTGGTCCAGCTCAATCCTCCCCACAACAGAAAGCCTCTGCAGCAGACCTTCCCACAGACCTTCAGACCAGACTGACACTTAAAAACCAACCCCCAAACCCTAGAAAAACCCAGCGCCCCGTAAATAACCAGTTTCTTCCAAAACTTCTCTTCGTTCCCCATCCCACCCTCCTCAGACATCCCAGAGGATCGATGGATCCCAGCTTCGACACGCTGCGCGCCAAGTGCTCACCACTGGCGGCAGCGAGGATGGAGAGTTGGGAAAGCAACGGAACTGAGTGTGTGAAGAAGCAACCTGAAGGCTTTGGACCACGGTCCCCCCAGCCCTCTCCTCTGCAGGAAATGGAAAGCCCCCCGGGGCTGCAGCAGCCCGGCTGTGGATCAGCTGGGGAGCAGGACGTGCTCCAGGAAGTAGCTGATGGAGTCCCAGTGCTTCCAGAGGAAGAAGAGGAAGAGGACGAGCAGGGCGGTGCTGAGGATGCGCATGCGGGTCTTCATGAGCGGGGTGATGAAGTTGGCGATGGTGGAGACGAAGACGAGCAGCACGGCCATCAGGGCCAGGATGACGTTGATGAACTTGCCCAGCAGCGCCCGGGCGTTGGCGTTCTCCACCCCTTCCAGCTGCACCACCTGCTGCTGCTGCTGCTGCAGTTCCAGCTTGGTCACCCGCGTCAGGCAGGACTCCACCGCCTCCTGCAAGGGACACGTGTCAGCAAATGGGCCTCCTCTGCTGGAAGAACGGATTGCCCCTTGCCCACCCTCTGTCCCAACCCAGGGGCTCTACCTTGCCCCATGGATGGAGGGTGCAGAGGGCTCTGAGCCATCACGCTCCCCTACCTGGATGTCCCGTGCCCTCTCGTAGGACTGGTAGGCCACCTTCTCCTCCATGCTGGCCAGCTCCTGCTTCAGGTTGGTCATTTCGTTCTGGTGCAGCTCGGTGAGGTCGTTGAGCTGCTCCTCCAGGCGCTCGTACCTGTGCACGGGGGGTGGAGGGATGCTGGGGCAGGAGGTCTCCCCATATAGAACCCCTGCCCTCCTTCCCCTGGCAATGGGGAACCTGGCCCCTCAGACCCACCTCACTCCTGGTTGTAGCTGGTTATGATGGCCAAAGGGGAAGCACTGCATGGGTCTGGCAGGAAGGAGGGCAGTGGGACTGCAGCTCCCCATGTCCCTGGCATGCGGGGCTTAGCTGGACAAGCCCTGCGGTCCCCAAAGAGTCATGGAATGGTTTGGGTTGAAGGGAGCTTAAAGCTCATCCAGTTCCACCCCCCTGCCATGGGCAGGGACACCTTCCACTAGAGCAGGTTGCTCCAAGCCCCTGTGTCCAACGTGGGTGATGTGTTTCCACCCTGGCACCCACCCATCCCTACCTGTACCGCTCCTCTTGCAAGCACTGTGTCATGTAGGTGTAATCCCGCTGCAGCTGAGCCTTGAGGTCCTCCATGGAGTCCTCCAGATGCGTCTGGCTGTCCTTGATCTCCCGGAGCTCCTCTAGGATGGTGTCGAAGTTATTGTGGTGGCTCTCCAGCGTGTTGGACTTGGGGCTCCCCAAGCCGCCAGGTCCTGCCCCTGAGTTGCTGCCACCAGCCGAGCCGGAGGTGGCACTGGAGCACTCGTCATCACTGCCGTACTTGGGGCTGGAGACCAGGGGGGCG